CTTATATATTGCTAAAATACGTTAATCCTAAAGAAACTGTAGCAACTATTTTTTAAGGTACCTTTTTTATAAATGACAACTTTTTATTTTTGTTTTTTTCTTTCGTTTATCCCATTATGTTGGCACTTTCCTTAATTGTGCTAGAAACCTGACAACAATTTGAACGGCACACTTGTCGTTTAAATAACATCTGGACGTATTTGTGGCTCAAACTTGCCAGCTTATTTGTAAACTTGATCGAAGTTTTTAGAGTTCTCATTCTGTCTCCGTAAACAAAGAAAATAGAGGACGTAAGATAGATGTAATCTGTGTAGATGGTGTCTGTTTCTGGTATTGCTCACGTAAGATACAGCAATGAGACCAAAATCTGTTAAAATTGCATCTGCAAAAACACCGATCATCTCTGTAATTTGAAACTAGTCAAGCAGTACATATGTATTCGTAAAAACACCTGAGTACTTCTACCAACGTTATCAAAATGGTTTAGCAAATTTCGAATTTTTAGTTCTGACCAGTCCTAAACACTGCAGATGGTGAACCTTGATAAAAAATTGAAAATTTTCAAACCAAAAATCCAAATCCTAAAAATTGAATATTATGAAACATACAGATTTTGAAAATACCTAAAAATATTCACTGTAATTACTGACCTCTTGAGAAAGCCAGGGCTTTCAGAAACAGTCTAGAAGCTTCTGAAATCTAATGATATTGCCTTTAGAATGAACAAATAACCTTGTTTTTTCCAAGATAAGTTATGACGTACTTCTGCGCCTCGATCTTTCCCACTTTGGCTTCTGATTTAGTTGTAAAAGCAGGCAGTTTTTTCTTCCTTTATCATTTTTATGACTCGTCCGTAATAAACGCCTTGTTCATTTTAATTATGGATATTTTGATTTGCAATGTCACTGCTGATATGAAAAGGGGTGTATATCAGCTAGCTGTAGCAAAAAAAAAAAAAAAAAAACGAAATGAACAGTGTTTAAACAACTGAACTATAAAACCATTTCCACCGCTGATATTTTTTTTTGCAAACGAAAAACTTGAAAAAAATTATTCATTACCAGCAAAAGTTTGGTTTACCAAAATGATATTTATTTTTTCCCTTGCACATTAAAAGTTGAAGCATAAAACACCATTAGCCGACTCAAGTTGATAAAAAAAAGACTACAAAGCAAACAATTATTGTTGACAGCAGCTTTTTTATACAAAGCGAATTTCTTTGCTCTTTTCTCTGCTATTTTGTCCACCCTCTAAGCCAACAGACGACTAACTTGAATTTGCATCTTGCAATTCAGCCGACAAACTATCCGTCCAGCCACTCGTCTAATCATCGTTCACTACTATCGGCAACAAATCGATTACTGCTTGCCCTTGCTTCGGCACAAACAACTGTAGTAGAACTTAAAAACCAAAAAGATCAGCAATTCCTTTTTTACCTTTTCTGCAATCTTTTTACTCAACATGAAACTGAAAACGGCTCTGAAACAGTGTATGTCAACTGGAGGGTGAAAGATGCAGCCATGTTCTCACTTCGTGGCGCGCCTCTTACCGCTCTTCTGCCAGTTGAGCTACCAAAAATGTGCTACACCGATCGTAAACTCTGGAATAATCACCACTCATGGTCAAAGGTTGTACGGACATCTATAACTTTTCTGGCAGTGTTAACAGTGCGTGCGCTATGCAGAGGGGCCAAGAAGAGGGAGAGGAAAAAAAGGTGACCTTCCACCGATGAGACATGACTAAATGTTGCAATCTTTCTATTTACAAAACAGACAACGAATGAAATAAGACTGGACATTGTTCTGTTCTACAAGAACATTAAATTATCTGCAAAATCTCAATTAGTTTCTTGAAAATCAACCAAAAAAGCTGCATCAGGTACAGCAATGCAACGACAGCGAAAAACTTGCAGTACTTTGAAGGGCGAACACGCTAAACGACGATTTAATCCTACTGGAAAGTACACTGGACATTTTTAAAGTTTTTATTTCCCTAATTTTTCGCTTTGTCTTACCCACAGATACTACTCATTGCTTCTTTAAGCATGAATAGTGACGTTTTGCTGCATCTTAATGGTTTAAGCAACTTCTCACACAGTCGCATTCCTCTTCTACACAGTTTAACCACTTCGTTTATATCATTTTTTATTGCCACCATCTTGCTAGGCTGACAACATGGTTCACATTCCAAAAACTTCAGCTGCACCAAAAACTTCCCAGTGAAACAACAATACGTACCCCCGTTTCAATCTTCAACTCAAAATAGGAAATTGAACCATGCTCAAGAAGCAGTTGTCCACACATCAAAAACAAATCAAAAACATGAATACTATCAAAGTTCAAAGCATTTCCGACGTCCCACTAAATGAGTGATGTATACACAGTTTGATGCGGATGTAACGCATCGCTTGAGGCGCGGTGCGCAGTCCATTCTGGAAAGTGCTAGCATCGTTGTTTAGATCCCTGAAGAACAGAACGAGAACGCTGAAAGTATTCATTCTGCATGCTGTTTATAGAGAAATGCGGCTGGCGTTGAAGACGCGCTGACTGTCACTGGTTGCAGCTATTTTCCTTATTTCTTGACTTGAATTTCGCGTAGGATTCTGTTTCCACTTTTTTTTTTCTTTTGCGCATGCAAGATTTATATTTTTATTGTACATTTTATTTATTTTTATAGTTGGTGAGTATATATAGTTTTCTTGTAAGCAGCTGGTTGGGTTTTCTTAGTTTTTTGCCGAGTACTTTTCATATTGGTGGCTGTATTTAGAGAAATGACCGAAAACAATTTTGAAGTGTATTAGGAGTTTGTTGGGTATTTACTCACAAACTGTAAAACTTGCTCAGTTCTATGTGTTAGCTAACTTCATTTGGTAGTTTAAACTGTATATTCGTTAGCAGCTGCTTTGTACACTCCTGTTTATCCACCTCCTCCTCCCTCATCCTCATGCCTGGCCTAGCACACAGCGTAATCTTGTAGCAGTCGGTAATTCGGAAATTACATTTTGTTGACGCTAGTAGGTGTCGAAATGTTCAAGAAACTTCTCAGATTTCTGGAAACTTCGGTCGCCGCTTAATAAATATCTTAGATTTAGTCATCATTTATCAGACGCTCGATTTGAGCTGCTACTTTCGTTCACTTTCTGTTATGGAGTGCAGCTTTCTTTCCCTTCATATTCTTTTTTCCTTTTTCTCACACACAGTTCTTGACTGTTCACTTGTCACTGTTTTAATGACGACTCTTGCCTGCTTTTTGAATGTTTGGTGTTTAAACTGTGATTTCAGTTGTTCAGTCCTTCAGCATCTGCACTCTTAATGACAGCATGACATAGTGGATGTGCACCTGTGCCACATTTTCAGCTTTGGGACCGCCAACAGCTAAGGTCCAGGAGAGGACGGATCTGCTTACCTATAACTCCTGCTGATTTTTCATTTTGTTGGCGCAAGATTTTCTCTGTAAACGCAGAACTGAGTGGTTTTTACTGTAAAAAGTGACGGAGAGGATAGCCAGCAAAGCCGTTTTTTGCGAAATGTTATGCATAAATTTTGAAGTGACCCGCTTTTTGTTTCTTGATGGTTTTGATTTAAACTTGATTTAAAAGTTTTGGAAACAAGGTTGTACTTGTCGGGCCATGTTGTTTTCACAAACTTGAAGATGCGAAATTGTGGGTTGCGTAAATGAGCGAGAGGCATTTTTTAAAGCTAATCGATTAAAAAAAAGAAACAGCATAGAA